AGGACATAGGACAAACCAGGCGATGTATCAATGACCGCTTACGAGAGCACGAAAACGAAGCCACTTCAAGAACTGACAACCCCATTCATCCGATCACAGTTCACGCGAACGAATGCATTGGACGCGCGCCTGACTTCGCAGGAACCAAGACAGAAGGGGGCACCGCGATCGCCACGGACGGCAAATCATCGAGTCCTTTCACATCCAGAACGCAGAAAACAATGTTTCATCGGCCTCAGTATCCTTATCAAGAGGGGAATTAGAATTCATCAGGCCCCAACTTGAAAAAAATCGCAAGTCCCTGTAAATACAAATCATCACGGTAGTTCTGCCCGTGCCTCGTGGTTCTCCCCTTCCATCTCCAAGTTTTCCTTCCCTTTTATCACCCTTTCCATCTCCCAGATTTCCTTTTCCTTCCCCCTGATCACTCTTTCCATCTCCCAACTTGCCATCCCCTTTAACGGTTTCTCGTTCAGCGTCGCAATATTTCTGCCCAAAATAAACGGCGCTGCCAAATGAAATAACGTGGTTGTCCTGTGCTTATCCTCCGTGTTTTATTCTTTCAATTTTATGTATATTGTTGGATGTTTCATAAGAAACTCATTTTTCATCATTTATTGAGTGACGCCTAGTTTCACGCTGTTTTTAGAAATTAAAACCGTGCTCACGTCATCAAAACAATTTTTTTCGACAAATATATTTAAGGGAATGACTACGGACATTGCGGCGAAAGGGCACGTTCTTTTTTTTTCTTCTTTTTTTTTTAGAAATCGGAGATGGCCGATTACAACGTCTGGGGCGTTTGACATGGACTTGGTCAAATGAACAACAAAAGACAGACGCTGCTCCCAGTAACGCAAGACACTCCATATGGCAGGAACCTCATGTTTCTGTGTTCACATAAGGGTCATTCTATGTCAAACATCCCAGTCGTTGCAATCGACCATCTTAAATTTCTTATCAAAAAAAGTTTTTTTTGCAATGTTTGTACTCAGTTCTAGAATACTTTTGTCGAAAAAATTTTTTTGATGACGTGTGCTCGAGTTTAACTTATAAAAACAGCGTGAAACTATGCATCACTAAATAATTGATAAAAAATTAGTTTTTTTTTATTAAATGTCCCACAATATATCTTGCTTATATTTTCACGGCTTTCGACTTACATCGTGGTTGGGCTTGTGCAATTTTGTTTTATTTAAACTATAAAAACACCATCTTTTGGAAATTTTATTATTTTTGTTATTTTATTAAATAATATATATAATTGCTGCCGCGACTTATATTAACTTCTTACCAGCTTATCTGTAGGTATATAACTTATAAAAAATGATTTAAACCGCTCAATTCAGTATCTTATAGTAAAAAAAATCCAGCAGCTGAAAAAACTGCGTTTTGACGCATAAACAACCATTTATTTTACCCTGAGGTGTTTCAAGTAATAATAAAATATATGGTGGGTTTAGAAGCACAATTTATTGCCTTTTGATTCTGAAAGATTAATCAATGTGATTTTTGTTTAAAGCGAGAAAACAATTTGTGAATTTGAACTCTCGCACCACAACCCGGCGTCGCTTCTTAACGCCTCTTCGCCGCACAGCAGGCCACCGGCGACGATAGCTGACGCGATTAGGTCCAAAGAAAAAACGGAGCTCGCTGCCGCTTCCTGTCGTCCGTCTTCCCGGCTGCAAGGGAAGAAACGGCGTGTATCGTGTAATAATCGCTGGTGCCGCCACTGCGTAGCCATAGCAGGCCAGTTGTGCCTCTTGTACCCGAGGGCGGTCCCTCAAACACCGAAACGTGACACCAAACACGACGGGCGGGATCAGCTCGCGCGGACGTCCCTTCGGTGGCTCAAAGAAACATAAGAAACATGGTGACTTTTACTGAAGATGTTGATGCCTTTTGTTCTTGAAAGTTTAAATGCAATAATTTTGTTCTAAAGAGGGGAAAAAAAAACATTTTGAAGTTGAGCTCTCGCGCCGCAGCCTGGCGTCGTTTATTGCACCTCTTCTTTGCACAACACGCCACCGTCGAGCCTGGCAAAGCGTGCGGCGGTGTCACGGTGTGCGCAATCAAGTAGGCAGCAGGACCTCGAGTTGTCGGGTACATCCTGATGGGAAAAAGCGTTTTTCCACTGTTGTTGCTTAATAGATTTTCCTATTTCGACCATTTTTCATGGCGGCGTCCTCCTGTGGTCTTCCACTGTCTTGATATCAGCAAATGTTTACCGCAGCCGGGCAGAGCATCCACTAGTAAGGTAGCCGTTTCTTACGTACACATCGCAATTACTCTTTATTGTCAACTTCAGGACACTATTTAAACTGCAACACAAAAGCCCCCTGAACGGGCAATCTCAAGCGACGAGGCGATGTGGTGTTAACGAGTGCGCGCCGTTGGAGCCTCACGCCTCGTTTGCGTTTAAATCGGCTTTGAAGCGGCAAATTCTTGCGTCGCTGAATAGTTCCGTTTTTTACCGCAGTATGCGTGGCGGCTAGATTTCCCGGCGATATTATCGCGTTTCCCTTTTAGGAGAAGTCTACGTCAGGTGATCCCGCCCGTCGATTAGGCATCGCGTTTCGGAGTGTGAGGAGCCGCCCTCGGATACAAAGGGCACAACGGGCCTGCTATGGCTACGCACTGGCGGCACCTCTGATTGTCAACACGATGCCCGCCGTTTCTTCCCTTGCATCTGAAAAGACGGACAAGGGGAAGGGGCAGTAAACTCCGTTCCTTTCCTTCTTTAGACCTAATCCTGTCAGCTATCGTCGCCGGTGGCGTGCTGTGCGGCGAAGAGGTGTTAAGGAGCGACGCCGGTTTTTTGTTCGAGAGTTCAAATTCAAAATTGTTTTCTCGCTTTAAACAAAAATTACTTCAATTAAATTTTCAGAATTAAATGACAATCGACCGGTCTTCCAATCCTATCATATATTGAATTTTTACTTGGACACCATAGGGTAAAATAAACGGCTGCTTATGCGTCAAAACGCACTTTTTTTTTTTTTTGCAAATTCAGGATTTATTTTTACTGCGAGATATTTCGTTATGCGGTCTAAACAATTTTTTTAGATTATATACCTACCGGACAGCCGGTAAAAAGTTGTATTAAGTACCCCAATAAATTTGATATTTTTTATTAAAAATTTTAAATGTTTCAATTAAACAAAACTGCAGAAGATTTCGGCTTGCAAAACATTGCAAGCCGAAATCCGAGCAGATTTAAAAAAATATATATATTGTTGGGTGTTTCATAAAAAATCAAATTTTTTTATAAATTATAGAGTGATACCTAGTTTCACGCTATTTTTAAAAGTTAAAACGGTGCTCATGCTATCAAAATAAGTTTTTCGTGAAACATATTTTAGGGCTTGCTACGGACAATGCAGCAAAATGAAATGAATATTTTTTTGGAAATTGAAGGTGGTCGCGCGCAACGTCTGGGACGTTGCCATGGAATGACCTATAATTAAAAACAAAAACAACGCAAAGATGAGAACAAAGTAAAACGTAACTCACAGGATATAGCGCTGCGTCTTGTCGGTTAGTTTTTACTTTGTTTATCGTATTCGCGCTGTTTTGTTTTCAATTATGTCTGCATTCCAACTAGCCCAAACTTCTACGTAATTAACCTTGACAAGGATATCTTTGCAGAAGCTTGCAAATGGTGGTGCCGCTCGGGTCAGGGGACAGCCGCGAAATATCAAAATCGAAGTGTCACCTTTCTGATATTGGGATTTTCCTGCTCGATTTGCTGAACAAAGGCGACAGCATTTTCTATGTTATCAATTTTTCCTGTGAGCGTGAGGTTCTGCGCTTGAACTCGCAAGAAAATGAAGTAGCAATCATATGGCTGTCAACGTGTTGATTTCTCACTCTTCAATATATCCCATTTACTATAAGAAATTTTTGGAATAAAGCACATAAGCGCTTTGGGTAACCTGGAAATAACCTTGTGATATAAAACCGAAAGCAACGCTAATTTTTGCTTACTCAAAGTGATTGCCTACTCTATTCTGAGACTTTATTATTGCACAAAGCGCGACAGTGTTAGCCCGAACAAGCGATTGCTGGTTTTCGCTGTTTGCCTCAAAACAAATTGAAAAAAAAACTGCCGCCAATATCATTAGTGTCTTTGAAAGTGCTCATCTGGGCCAATAACCTAAGCGGTAAAATTTAGTACCTTCTAACACCATTTCGAAGCAACGTTTAAAAGTCGTCAACATCGTGTTCGTGGTAACGTTGTCGCGTAGTGTACATAGTTCGCTTCGTAGTTCCACATTTTTGGGGACCATCTTGAAAGAAACATTTCAAGTGGGTCAAGTTGAAATATATTTCGTTTGAGCTTATTTTAATGTGATGTAAAGTTTAAGAATACGTTGACGGTAAAAAACTAATTCACAACATAACTATAGTCCGTTGCAACCTAAGAACGAAGGGCGAGGGTAAGAGGTTCCGGGGAGGAGGAAGCAGACGGAACGCTAAAGACAGGGGGAGGTTTCCTCCTCTCTTCTCCAGCGTTCCGTCTGCTTCCTCCTCCCCGGCCCGTCTTACCTTCGCCCTTCGTTCTTAGGTTGTAACGGACTATAAGTAGCTCGCCGGAACCTTTGCATTAATTGCTTCAAAAAAACTTCGGAACATATTCTTAAAGGGAAAATGTGATCAAACCACGGTTGGAACAATAGAGACTTTCCGCGAAGAGGGTGAGACGTGTGGGGCTTTCTACAAATAGGTTTAAAAGGGACGGGCTCAAACATAAAGTGTGTTTCGGCTACGGGTTTATGTAAAAAGGGCGTTTCGGGAACGGGGGCAAGCGGGGCAGTTTCAAACGGGACGGGCGATTCGGGAATGGGTCGAAACGGGACGGGTTCACACAGGAAGGTCGTTTTGGTAATGGGTCAAAACAGGACGAGTTCAAAAGGGAATGGGTTGTTACGGGCTACGCCACACCCTTTCAGACACGTTACTGCAACTTCATAATCTAGGGTCTTTGCTCTCGGTCACAGGCAAACCAACGTTGGAAACAACAGTGCAATGGGCACGCGGTGTGGACGGCAGCCGCATGGTTGAACTTGTCTGCGAGGTACTCAGCGCCAACGCAAGACGCACAGATTGGCTCCGAAGTGACGGATCCCCGCTGGTTCAGGGCGAGTTTGTGCATCTCTTTCTCGACGGCAATAAACACACGGCCAAGCTCAAGAATCTGGGCCAATTAAGTTACGACAACTACACCTGCGTATCCCAGAACAAATACGGCATTGCCAAGAGCACTGTCGAGATCTCAGGTGAGTAAGACGTGATAACATTGGCATATGTGATTGACATAAAAAGGTACAAAACTCTGTGTATATTGCTAAAAAAGTACGCCTTTCAGAACATAGAGTTCATAATAAGAGAAAATCCAAAATACGTATTTTCTACTCACACGTTGGTGATTCAATATACGGGTTGATAATGTTTTTACAAAAATACTCGTGGCAATACTTTTAAAGTTTACGAGGTAATGCTTTTCTGATATCGATGAATCCAGTTTCCCGTCCCCACCAATTGATTTGATACTCCAATTTTTTTTCAGTCGTTATTATTAAACCCGTATATTATTAAATAAACGGGTTGATAATGTTTTTATAAATGTACTCACGGCAAACCATTTAAAGTTTCCGAGGTTATGCCTCTCCGATATCCATGCATCGAGTTACCCATCTCCGTCAGTTGATTTGATTGTTCAATTTCATTTTTTGTCGTACCGTTTATCTGGTGGCATTTCGGTCGTGTGCGGCATTTCTTCCAAAAAGGGCATTATATTAGAAGTTATAGTGTGTGATTTACTCACCTAGATCTCCGTAGTTTGCAGGACAAAGTGAATCACACATCCCAATTGGTGAAGTACCATTCCTTGAAAAAAAACTGTGTGACACGTACACTGTAGAACTATTTTCATATAGACTAGAGGCTCTGAGCGTAAGTTACTTATTGTGTGAGATGTTTCAATACAAATATGCGTCTTTATAATAGCGAGTCTCTATAATGCATAAACTATGCAACCTCCACTTCGAAAGTATCGTTTGACCGGCCTATATTTAACAGCGAACAAAACATTCAATATAGAGGCCTTGTTTTAACTTTTACTATTACTCAGAGCTAGCACGCTTTCCGGCCAAGACGGTGGTATGTTTGAAGAATGATAGTCAAAGAAAGTGGTCCCTTTCAACTTTGTGACATTAGAAAAACAGCATTGATGTCTAAAGTAAAAAAGACTACTACAGACGAAATCGTCGTCTCTTTGTTTCAGAGAGCTTGCGTCTGATGCTTGTTTTTTTTTTCTAAAATAGTCTTGTTTTTTATATATTTATTCTAGCTAACTAGTTGATTTGCAGGCAGTATTCATTTCTGAAGATATTTTTGACAAGCTTATATACAGATGGACCATCGCTATTCATCCCAAGCTATAACTAAAAACGTGACCGTCTAAGCGATATTCATTCTAATATTCCACTAAAGCAAATTCAAGAAAAGTGTCACTGACTTTGCAATTCGACGCTTTGCATTTCGCTCACAGGCAAGCCAACTCTCAGAACGACCGTACACTGGACACACAATCTTGATGGCAGTCGCGATGCAGAACTTGTTTGCACGGTAGACAGCGTCACTCCAAGCCGCACAAAGTGGCTGGGCAATGACGGGTCTCCGTTGCGCTCAGACGAATACTTACAACTCTCCGTCGACAAAAATAACCACAGGGTCAAATTCAACAATGCAAGCGAACTGAACTACGGCAACTACACCTGCGTCGCCAAGAATAATTACGGCATTGCCATGAGCACTGTAGAGATGTCAGGTGAGTAAGAGGAACTAACATTGGGAGACAATAAATATAAAAAACTCAGTACATCCCGTGTTAGTGCTTAAACCAATGCGCCCTTCTAAACCCTGCCTAGTTTGTGTAATTTGTACCTGTCTTGTGGTATTATTTATGATAAAATGTTAAAGAAAACTTTTCTTATCGCACCTTGTTGATGAAAGTTGAGCGTTGATGTTGTTTTATACTACTAATCGTGGCAAAACTTGAAAGCTCCTGAAGTCGTAGCGTTGCGAATTCCCAGGCGTGCTTTTTTCTATCCCCAAAAAATCCTTAGATGATTAAATCTGTTTTCATTTCTGGCCTTCTTTTGGTTCCAAATCTGCCGTGCGCAGCCATCTACACCTATAAATGTCACAATATAAGAGGTTTTATAGTGTCATTTACGCACCTCGCTATGTGTAATTTACAGAAAATAGTGAATCGCACACCCCAATTGTGAAGTAGCATAACTTCTACAAAACAGTTGGGAAACGTTCTGTGTAATTTGTTTACTCCATATATATGCTGAAGGCCCAGAGAAAGAGAGTTATTTTTAATTGAGATGCATTAATGAAGCCTACAGCTTTCAAGTATTTTTTTAAAGGCCTAGTTTAAACATCAGCCCAAATACTGAATATAGAAGACTTTTTTTTAATGCTTTCGCTGTGTCGGATTGCTAGCAGACTTTTCGCCAAGACTTTGGTACGTTAGTGGTAGAGTAATCTACAAATGTGGGCCTCACAATTTTCGCTATAGTAGAAAAACCTATTCGTGACTAAAGTGCGACAAAATATGACAGAGAAATTCATTGTGGCTTTGTGACAACGTGTTTGTCTAGTGTTTTCTTTTTTTTGTTTCAACTTAATAGTCAGTTGTATCACATAATTTAGCTTTAACGCACTAGACTATTTACTGTTAGTATCAATGCATGAAGCAATTTTTCTCCACACCAGTAAAGAGATGAAGCAATGTATTTTTATTGGGATTTAATTTAATACTTTCGAAATTAAGTCTATTCTAGTGAAGAAAGTGCAATCTTTCGCAATTTCTCATACGCCAAACGTAGAAACGTGGCATTCTAAGTGATATTTAATTTAAATTTTAACTAAACTAAACACCTTGACCTGACGTCTTCCATTCCGGTCACAGGCAAGCCAACTCTGAGAACGAACATAGAGTGGACAAGAAATACTGATGGCAGTCACAGTGCAGAACTTGTTTGCACGGTAGACAGCGTCACTCAAAGTCGCACAGAGTGGCTGGGCAATGACGGGTCCCGGCTGCTCCAAGGCGCATCCATCCAACTGTCCGTTGTCGGAAATGACCACAGGGCCAAGATCACCAATGCAAGCGAACTGAACTACGGCAACTACACCTGTGTCTCCCAGAACAAATACGGCATTGCCACGAGCACTGTAGACATCCCGGGTGAGTCAAAATGGCCCTACATTTGCAGACCTAAAAACGGTAGAAGTAGGGTAAATTGTAATACATTTTAACGTTTATATTTTGAATTGTTCAGTGTACCTGTCGGGTAGTTTTGTTCATACATGAAAAAGTTGAAGAAGGCTGTTTTCCAATGCTACTTCGGTGACTGGAAAAAGATGTTTATGCTTCTCGATTGCAGTGTTGGATTGTTCTAGAACAGAATTGAACCTTTGCGATTCTCAATCTCAACAGATTGTCATCGCAAGCATTGTATTTCCTCCTTTGCTGCCTTACGGATATCTTGCATTTTATAGTAGTTCCTAAGAGAACGTCACCTTAGACGCGTACATGAATGCGTGTATCCTTAATTGGACCTTATAAGGAAAGAAACAGTATATCCTCTCGTCACTGAGTTAGCTACGCCTGAAGTATCAGAAGTCCGTTCCTCGATATTCGTCTTGGCGCACATAATATTTTTCTTAGATTAGGGTGTTCAGCGAATGATTTTGAACTTTTCCTTCACATAGTACAACTCCCTTCCTCTGCCAAACGTTCAACGGTTTCGGAAAACACTGAGAACTGAAAAAAATTGGAAATTGATAGCGGACAGAGAAAGAATGTTCGTTTTCCCCGGGGCTTGTTGGATTGGAACATTTCTTTATAAAAAAAAAAAATAGTGAAATGGACAAATGTTTTGTATTGATTTCTATCGCGCGCTCTGGGTGGCCTCATCTTTCATCCTGTCATCTATAGACCGACACGCTGTTTACGAAGAAGGCCGCGCAGTGCCCACACCTGGTGTGGGCACTGCACGTGCGCAGAAACCGAATTTGCGTGGAGGAAAGCGTGCGTGCATGAGCAGTACCGTCGACAGCGCCACCGCAGTGGCGTGACGTCAAGGCCGCGTGATGGTCTATACAAAACATACTGTGGCCATTTACACAAATTTGATGTTAGAGACGTCACTGGAAAATTCAGTGAGTTTCCAATCGAAGGAAGATAGAGCTTCCTCTCCAGGAAATTTACGGCGCCTTGTTTCTTATTTCATGTTCGTTATTTATTTACCTTTATCCTTATGTGAAGGGATGCCCAAATACTGCTACCTCTCTTACCTACCTCAAATTGGTTTATATCTTCTCTCGTCCGTCATAAATCGCGCCCCATATTGTGAGTGAGATTTTTTTTTTGTCAGTCCAACAGGTTTGAGTTTGAGACTCCGGCAATTGAGTCTCCTCTTCTGAAATTTTGTATTGCACACATATTTTTGATAGCTATCCGACTTCAAGTTACGGCAGGTTATTTCTAGCATTTCATTATTGTTAGAAATTTTATTTAATGTGACAGCGAGGATAGTTGAATATGTCTTTCGAACTCCCGGCCTCCAGGATGCGCTTCAAGCTTTTCGCCGTGCTTTTCCTACAGGGGAGAGTTCGAATTGCACGAGACACCAGAGCCTTGTCAAATATTGAAGCCCACGCTGGAGGCTCCTCGACGCCAATCTCGGTTTAAAAAAAAATGAAGCATTTCACTGCAAAATGTGCCGTTGTATATACACTCCGTGCGGGAACTATAGGGGGCGCTTTGAAAAACGCGCGCAGCGCCGCTAGCGGAGTAGCTGGCGTTCGACAGTGAGGCGCGTTCAGCTGCAGCCTGCGGCGCCTTTTCGCATGCGAAGCTGTGGCGGCGGAAGCGCGTACGGACGAAACTTTTGCTTTTTGAGCCGATACGTTGTGGGTGACGTTGCATGAGTGCTGGGACAGAAGGGCATTTAGCTGTTCTCCACTTCTTGTATATTGAGCTTGAGTCGTTATTAGGGGTAATTTCTCTAGTTGCGGCCGAAAAAGGAGTTGCAGCAATTTTCCCAAAAGCAAGACGGCCGCCACCGTAAATGCTCCGAGTGGGAAATTTATTTCGCTCGTCGCTGTAAACGTAGGACTGCTGGAACGATGATATCGGAGGCGAGTGAGATGTTCACTAAGTTTGTGCACGAAGTGTGCCAAGTTTCATTAAGACAGCTGGTATGAAAGTTAGGTTTCTAACGAATAAATTATTGTACCTAAAATGTTGTGTTATAGCGGGCTGTGCAAAGTGCAGATTTGGGCACGCAGGTGCTTGGACTTGACAATAACATGACACAGCCCTTAATATAAAAAAAAAGGTGGCATAGGGAAACCAGGTGAACATTCGGTGTGGGTGGCGTAACTCAATGGGAACCGGTTTTGACCATGAAAAGGCTGTCAAGAGAATACCACTGGTCGTGGGATGTGGAGACTTTACAGGTAGGAAGTGACTAGTGGACTGTACTTCGAATTGAAACAACTTTACGAAAGGTGGTTTCAAAACCGAGAAAACAAAGTTGTCGGCCGAACACACGTTATGACCGTCAAGGGCTTTTGCGGTCAGCTGTTGTGTAATAACCTGTTGTGCGAGGTGCTGATTTTCGGCGCACCGGTACTTTGACATGACCGTAACTTGAGACAACACTTATTATACCAAAAAGAGTCGGCATAACGAAACCAGGTGGAAATTTAGATTGGGCGGCGTAACTAAATGGGAACTGGCGTTGACCGTCAAAGGCTGTCAAGAAAATACCACTCATTATGGGAGGTGCACACTTTACAGGTAGGAAGGGACCAGTGGACGGTGCTTCCAGTTCGAACCACTTTGCGATAGGTGGCTCTAAAGCCGAGAAAAAAAAATGTTGTCGAGAAAACTCGGGGTGTCAGCGTTTCCACATCCAAAAGGAAGCTGATCAAGAAAGAAAGCACACCACATAAATTTCCATACTCAAACGTCGATTCTCCAGTGATTACGAGTTTCATTGTTGTTTTCTTTAGATTTATATTTGTCACATTTTTTTACCGTTCGAATCTTTCTTCATGAAGTACAGATTGCGTGCCATACTTGTCCGGAAATATCATCGACACGTACGATGGGGACGAAACTTCTTTGGAGGGCATTCCTCCAACGAAAGTGGCACTGCACACCCGCGAGTGTGAGATGGCATTTCATGTCGTCCCATCGGCGCTGAAACATGTAGGCGCTACTGGTACGAAAACGAACGCAGACCGCAAAGCGGCAGTGTAGAATATGTCAGCCGAGCCGACACAGTGGCAGACATGATCGGGAGATCAAATTTCTCGCGTCGTACGGCACGGCTCCATCGTTGTCTCGCTGTCCCACAAAAAATCGGTGAGGTGAAAAACTGTCAAACTTTATCCCTACGAGATACGACGCATAACTATTGAAGCACTTAATGACGTAGCACAGGCAGCACTTCATGCTGTGAACCCAGCGCAACCGCACCGCTCCGACTTCAATGCGTACCAACGTACGCGGCGGGGTTTCGGTTTCGTTTTCTCTGGGGTTCTCACTGCCTACTTTCGGTACCGGCCGCGCGGCGGCGCGCCAGTCGCGTCGCACGGAGTGTATAACCTCTCTGCGTTGTAAGCTTTTTAAACAGAATGTGGCAGGACAAACGCCGCCTATAAATACCGACTGCTATACAGTCATACCGAGCAATGCTTATTCGGTTTGACGCAGTGCACCACAGTGCTGCTTTTAGTCTGTGTGTACAAATAATTTCTATTAAAACATGTTCGTCATAAAAATACTAGGTGTCCTCGTAGTTGACCTTGTTTTTCGATGTCACTTTGTTTTTTTATATAGGACTAATCTTAAAAAAACATTGTTGTGTCCAAAATGTTTTCTTGCATTCAAGCTAAAAGCAAATAAGGAAAGTTGTTGCTATATATAAAAAAAAAAAATATATAAACGCGTCGCAGCTCACCGGATATTACAAAGCGTTCAATGTCGTATTATTTAGTTACAAAGAGCCCATTTCAAACACGTTACCTGCACTTCATAATCTAGGGTCTTCACTCTCGGTCACAGGCAAACCAACGTTGAAAACAACAATGCATTGGACACGCGGTGCAGATGGCAGCGGTATGGTTGAACTTCTTTGCGAGGTACTCAGCGCCCATGCAAGACGCACAGTTTGGCTTCGAAGTGACAGATCCCCGCTGGTTCACGGCGAGTTTGTGCATCTCTCCGTCGACGGCAATAAACACATGGCCAGGCTCAAGAATGTGAGCGAATTGGAATACGACAACTACACCTGCGTATCCGAGAACAAATACGGCATTGCTATGAGCACTGTCGAGATCTCAGGTGAGTGACAGGTCATAACATTTTCATATGTGAATGACATAAAATGTACTAAATTCCGTTTACATTGCCAAACATGTACGGCTTTCAGAACATATATATTCATAATAAAACAATTTCAAAAATGCCTATTTTGTAGTCAGACCTTGGTGATTAAGTATAGCAGCTGATAATGTTTATATAAAAGTACTCGTGGCAATTCCTTCAAAGGGTCCGAAGTTATGCCTTTCCGATATTCATTCAGTAGCTGCCCATCCCCAACAATAGCTTTGCTAATTCAATTTATTTTCAGTCGCTACATATATTTGGTGGCATTTCTGCTGTGTTCAACACCCCTACCAATACGGACACCATAATAGAGGTTTCACCTCGCTCTCTGGACTATGGAGGAAAATGTGAATCACAGACCCCAATTGGTGAAACACCATTCATATCTAAAACTGTATAACATATACACTGTAAAACTCTTTTCATATATTCTGAAGGTTAAGAATGTAAGTTACTTCTGGAGCGAGATGTATCAATACAAATATGTAACTTTATTTATGTGGGTCTCTAAAAAAGAATAATCTATGCAACCTGCAGTTAGGAAGTATCGTTTGACCGGCCTATGTTTAACAGCGATCATAACATTGAATATGGAGATCTTCTTTTATAACTTTTACTATAGTTCAGAGCTAGCACACTTTACGGCCCACACTGTGGGTTGTTTGAAGAATGACCATCTAATAAAGTGGTCTCTTTACACCTCGTGACATGAGAAAAACCGCATTGATGTCTAAAGTGCGACAGACCAATTCATCGTCTCTTTGTTTCAAAATTTTACTTCGCATTTTTTTTTATCAAATAGTCTTGTTTTTTAATATATTTATTCTAAAAAAAACTCGATGATTCGCCGGCAGTATTCATTTGAGTAGATATCTTTTGACGAACGAATATAGAGATGAAACAATGTACTTTTTTTAGGTTGAGTCCACCTTTCATACCTTCAAAATTAAAGCGATTTATGAATAACAATGAGCTTTCACTATTCATCCAAAGCAATCAGTAAAAACATGAAAGCCTAAGTGATATTTAGTTTAATACTTCACTAAGAACAAATTTAACAAAAATGTCCCTGACTTCAAAATTTAACGTTTTGCATTTCGCTCACAGGCAAGCCAAGTCTGAGAACGACCATACACTGGACACGCAATCTTGATGGAAGTCGCGATGCAGAACTTGTTTGCGCGGTAGACAGCGTCACTCCAAGTCGCACGAAGTGGCTCGGCAATGACGGGTCTCCGTTGCTCCCAGACGAATACTTGCATTTCTCCGTTGTCGGAAATGACCACTGGGTCAAGTTCAACAATGCAAGCGGACTGAACTATGGCTACTACACCTGCGTCTCCCACAACAAATACGGTATTGCCATGAGCACTGTAGAGATGTCAGGTGAGTAAGGGGAAGTAACATTGGCTGACATTATTTAAATTAAGCCGCCACAATCCGTCCTATTTCTTAAAACATTGCTCCCTTCAGAATCAAAATAATTATTTATAATTTGTATCTGCCTTGTAGTATCATTCATAATAAAAAGTGTTAATCAAAACTTTATTCCTTATTGCACTCTGCTGATGAAATCTATGTGTTGACATTGTTTTTTTAATAGTAGTCGTTGCAAAACTTGAAAGGTTCATAAGTCCTAGACTTGCTAACTCCCACGCTTGCAGTTTCCTATGCCCAACAAACCTTTGGATCATTACATTTTCTTCAGTCCTGGCCTTCAATTGGTGGCAGATCTGTCATGCTCGGCATCTCAACCTAAAAAGGCACCATATAAGGCGCCTTTTTATAACTGCTACATACTATAACTACCATATAACTACTAAAATATATTTTAAAAAATGCCCTCTTTTTTTCACATATATGTTGAAAGCTCCAATAGAGGGCTATTCTTAATTGAGATGTATTAAAGCAGTGTCCAGTTTTTGAGTCTGTCCTAAAAGGCCTAGTTTTAACAGCAATCTTACTATTAAATATAAAGACTTTCTTTAACACTTTCGCAATGTTTTATAGCCAGCACACTTTCCGCCAAGACTGTGGTACGTTAGCGGAATAGTAATCTACAAATGTGGACCCCTAAGACTCTGTTAGAGGAGAAAAACCTCATTGGTGTCTAAAGTGCGACAAAATGTGACGGAGAAATTCATCTTTGCTTCGTGGCAACGTGTTCGTCTAGTGCCTTTTTCTTTTCAAACAAATAGCTGTTTGTATCACATAATTTACTTATAACACACTACAGAATTTACTGGCAGTATCAATGCAGGAAGTTACTTTTCTGCTCACGAATATGCAGACGGAGTGTTTTTTTTTTTTTTTGCGAATAAGACTTATATTAATACTTTCGAAATAAAATTCATTTTACCGAAAAGAAGGGGGAGCTTTCCCAATTTACCCTCCGCAAAACGTAAAAAAGTGACACTTTAAGTGATATTTAGTTCAAACGTTTACTAAAAACAAATTCGTCAAAAGTGTACTTACCTCCTCGATCTCACGTCGTTCATTCCTGTCGCAGGCAAGCCAATTCTGAAAACGAACATAGAATGGACACGCCATTCCGATGGCAGTCGAAGTGCAGAACTTGTGTGCACGGTAGACAGTGCCAATCCGAGCCACACGGCTTGGCTGCACAATGACGGGACCCCGCTGCTCCAAGGCGAATCCATAAACCTCTTCGTTGTTGGAAGTGAACACAGGGCCAAGATCAACAATGCGAGTGAACAAAACTACGGCAACTACACCTGCGCCTCCCAGAACAAATACGGCATTGCCATGAGCACTGTAGAGTTCTCAGGTGAGTCAAAATGACCCCATATTTGCAGACTTAAAAACGGCAGAAGTACGGTAAATTTTGATTCATTTTACGGATTATATTTGAAGGTGTTCATAGTACCTGTCTGGTAGTTGTGTTCATATCTGAACTAGTTTAAGTATACTCTTTTCCAATGTGAATTCGGTGGCTGGACAAATTTGTTTATGCACCTCGATGGGAGTCTTGGGTTCTTTTAGACTAGAGTTGAACCTTGTCGATTCTCAGCCCCTTCAGATTCACATGGCAAGCGTTGTCTTGGATATATCCATTAGTATTTCCCCTGTTACGCCCTCGCGGATATTCTGCAGTGTTTTGTAGTTCCGAACAGAACGCCACCTGCGACGCGTGCATGAATGCGTGCTTCCCTAATTAAAGATTATATTCAAAATACATAGTATACCTTCTCGTCACTGAGTCAGCTACGCCTAAAATATCGAAACTCCGTTCCTCGAGATTCGTCTGAGCGCAACTATTATCCTTCTTCAAGGAGGGTGAACAATTTTAAACTCCTCCCTTACACGGTACAACAAACCCTTCCTTTGCCAAACGTTCAACGGTTTCGGAAAACACCAAGACGTGAAATGAATCGTAGCTGAGAGCTAGCAAAGAAGGAATGTCTGTTTTCCCTGGGGCTTGCTGAATTGGAACATTTCCTAAGAAAACAAAAATGAACTGAACATATATTTGCTTTGATTTGTATCGCGTGCTCTGGGTGGGCACCCTTTCCATCCTGTCATCTATGCAAATCCCACTGTAATCATTTAAACAATTCAAGGTTTGAGATGTCACTGGCAAAAAACGATGAATTTCCAAAGAGAAGGAAGCGAGATATTCCTTTCCTGAAAATATATGGCGCGTTGCTCAATGTTTCTAATGCGTTAGTTATTTACCCATATCCTTATAGGAATAGTGAATGCTTCAAGCATGTACTCCACGATTTTTTTCGAATCTAGCTTTCGAAAAGGAAATAACCCTACCCACATCGTCAAGTGGTCGGTTACCATGAACAAGTACTGATTGCCGCGGGGACTAGGTCTGAAAGGGCACATGACGTAACAAACCTATCTGCCAAGGACTCTGGCTTACGATAGGTTGCATTAGAGCGGGGGGCTGACCACCACGTGGTTTTGCCTTCTGTCACACCGAGCTGCTAAGAGCGTATTGGAGCACATCGTGCCTCATGCCTGGCCAGGCAGCAATGCGGGATAAACTTTCGTAAGTTTCGCTCCCACTGCTGTGTCCTGCCAAGGCATTGTCATGCATGTATCGAATGAAAAGCTTACGTAGTTTGCGGTGTATCACGGTCCGTAACGCGGAGCCATCCCGATCGCCGTTGACCAGGGGGATATAGCGCAGCAGGAGGCCGCCGTCGCTCATCAAGTAGAAGTCGAATGCCTTGTGACATGGGCTGTCGATTGGACCTCTTGTTGCCAGCCAAGTGGACACGCGTTGGCAGAGTCCGTCATCCAGCTGCGCCTTGCGAAGCTCCTTGCGGCTCATCAATGTACCCACCGTAAGTCTGGGGATCCTCATGCCGTGGCCGCGACGGTCTACAAGCCACGGGTATCCTGCGAGTGCTCCTCGGGCAGTGGAGCACGAGAGAGTGTATCAGCAACTTTGTTGGCTGACCCCGGGTGGTACACGTAGGAGTAGTCCTACTGTTACAGCGTAAGCGCCCAACGAGCAAGACGTCTAGAGGTATTCTTAAGTCCTCTTAGCCATGAGAGCGCTAAGTGATCAAATTGAATCAAGAACGCTGCGACATCTAGGTACATGTTGCACCTCTTCAAAGCATGAATAATGGCGAGACATTCACGTTTTGCGACACTGTATTGACGCTTGGCTGGAGTTAGCGTGCGGCTCGTGAAAGCAATTGGCCGAAGCATACCGTCACACTCCCACTGCGAAACAGCACCCAGGCCAGAGTCGCTTGCATCTGTCTGCAGAACGAACGGCTTGTTCAAGTCTGGGAACTGTAAAAAATCGTTGTCAGACGTTCTCAAAGGGCTGCGAATGCGCATTGTTGTTGTTCTGCTCAACGTCACATGACACCTTTTTTAGAAGGTTTCATGAACGGTTGGAATATCTCGGGACAGTGCGGAATGAAATCCCTGTAGAATGCAATCATTTCGAGGTATCTTTGTAGGCTATTTACGTCATGTTGAGCTGGGCATTCCGTTAGCGCGCGCAAGTTATCTTCGTTGGAGCGGAGCGTGTCGATATCCACAACGAATTCAAGGAGGTTTTTCTTGGGCGCGGACAACTGAACTTTTCTAGGAAGAATCGTAAAGCCAGCATTACGCATTCGCTCAAATTCGATGCGAAGGTGTTCGACATCCTCCTCAATAATTCTCGAGAAAACAACCACATCTTCCGTGTATGCCATGGCCAATTCGTGAGTTCCCAAGAACAACATCCATCAGGCGTTGAAAACTGGCTGGAGAGTTAGACGAGCCAAACGGGAGTCGGGTGAACTAAACAACCCCCATGTGGCAAACTAAATCAGCTTTTGGAACCACTGATGGGTGAATCTCGATCCGAAGAAACCCGCGACTGCAATCCAGAGTTGTTAACACGGTCGCGCTACCGAGCGCGTACATCATGGAGGAAATGATGGGGAAAGGGTATCCGTCTCGTACGGACGCATCGTTCGGCCGTCTGTAATCCACACAGAGTCTGGCTGTTCCGTTTTTTTTTTTTTTTGGAGCGATAACAACGGGCAACGCCCAAGGACTCTTCAACTCACGTACGGAACCGGTGGCGATCATCTCCTCGAGTGCCGCATCTAGGAGTGCAATTTTGTGGTCACTGATCGCTCGAGGGTCGCACCTCCGAGGCGGCGCGTCAGCCGTTTAAATACGTCGCGCAGGATGTCAGTTTTTCTAGGCGTTTCCCTAAACATCGGTGAGAAAACCCCAGGACGGCTTGCAACTCCTGCTTCTGCTGGCTGCTTGCGGGGCACTTTTGCAACGATTTTCGAACGTTGGCAGTCAAGACGTCCAGCACCACGGTGAAGTGGGCTCCAGTGGGCGGGTTACCGATGAAGTCCTCCCGACTGGTAAACGGAGTCCACTCCGGTTGTTGTCCCAGTCGGTATTCGCTACCAAAAAAAAGTCAAGTGTCATGTTTTCGCCTGTAATAAAATCTCGGCCAAAGATCATGGGTACCACGAGTCCTCGCAGATAAAGAAATCGCTGACGCCGGTTCTTTACATTAAACCGAGTATGTAGCCCCACGGATCCCCTAGCTGTTATCGTGTGCCAGAGGCTAGCTCCAAACGGGTTTCGCACTTCGGGAGGCGTATCTTTTTTGCCTTGCAGAGTTCGAAAACCAAATCTCCTATAAGCGATATAGCGGCCCCATAATCCAAAAGTGCATCAATGGGAAAATCGGGCAGTGAATTCGTCATGCGCGTTAAATGATGTTAGGCTCGGGCTGGATTGGACGTACCGATGGAATCTTTGCCCCGGCCTCCCTGCCCCCAAGGACTCTAAAGGCCGTTGGCGAGTGGCTGCCTGGTTTCAGCGTTGCCGGCCGTAGAAGTTTCCCTGGTTCTGGTTCCAGCCCTTTGCAACCGTCTCGTGGCACCTCTTGTTTGTAGTGTCCAGAAGTCTTCGACACTAGTTTCGGTGATGGTGGGGCTGCTCGCACTCATAGCAGCAGTCCGACGACAGTTGCCTACTGAGGACACCCGTACCGAGGTGACCGTCGGACCACCTTCAGTGATCGGGTAAAGAACCACTATTGGAGGGCTTCCACCAGGCTTGCGACCGGCTGTTGTGGGAGAGCTTGTTCCGCTACGATGGGGGTCAATGCTGCATAGCTGCGGGATTGCGACCGCAGCGTGCCAATTTTCATCAGCATTTGCAGGAGCAGGCTGATTAAGATGGTTCGCTGTCGTGGCGACCCCAAAGCCGGGACCCGCACGAGCCCCGATGTGACCTCCGGGGACCTCTTGATGAGAGCTATACGAACATTCGCTTATTTCGCACGGGAGAACTCCATGCATGCCATGCATACTCTCCTGGTTGACATGGTAGGGAAGGGAGGTCTCGTTCGGACAGTCCACTAGTGTGGAGGCCTCGGGGCCCCGCCTTGCGCATGCCGGTTGGAGCGCGTACTTGGTTGGTGGTGGCCGCATGTAGTTCCGTTCGGCCTGAAGAGCTTCCTCGATGGGGCGGGCGCCCCGGGCTGGCTCCTCTAGGGTCTCAAAGGTGCGGTTGATCTGGTAGATGTGGTTTCTTGGGTGGAACTGTTTTCTGACCCGAGCTGCTCCTCTGTCTGACTCCGGTGTATTTGGCTCTGCCCTCTTGAAGAGCTCTTGCATGACCGGAACGTACCGGACCAGACTTCCGTCCGGGTGCTGCGTTTTTGCCTCGAGCTCTCGGAGAATCTGCGTTGCATAGCCCGTAGGCAGGAACTCTTCTCGAAGCCTTGTCTGGAAGTTTGCCATGCTGGTGAAGGGACCTGCAACCCCCAACCAGCACCTGGCGCTGGCTTGCAACGCCAGCGGGGCAATCCGGTCCACGTTGAAGGCTTCCGAGGCACCGAAGGCAAGGTGGTACGCCTGCAGGTCGCCCATGACGTCTGCCACGGACTTGACGTCGTCGTGCCCCGTGTAGACTGAAACAGTTAGGGGTGGTCGGAGCACTCGCGGCGGGGTCTTCTGCTGGCCAGGCGTGTGGGTCAGGTGCTGCATCAAGGAATCGCACATCTCCATGACCTTCGTGAGCAGGTTCATTTGTGCCGCCGTGGCCATCGCAGCTTCCTGCTCCCGTGTGAGCAAGCCTGCAAAAACAAAAAAAAAAACGCCCCCAAAAAACTAGCACAAGTGCGCAAAACGATTGCCGTGGTCACAAAAACACAGCCAGAAACACGTGAATACAACAAACGCGGACATGACGGAAGCACGGAACGACGGTAGGAAACACGGGGGGTGGGGAAAAGGCTTACCGAAAGAAGAAACCAAGCTCGTAAAAATC